ACTCGTTACTGGCGCATCCCACCGGGGCCGGTCGCTGCTGAGCATCCTTCTCTGCGCCTGCCCGGGCATGGCCTTTCTGAGCACCCCACTTGGGTTCAGATATGAATCCAGTACAATACTCCCGGGATTTTCCTCCCCAGACCAGATCCTTTCAGGATACTGGTCTCTGCACCACCAGCAGATATTTCTAGACTAATTCTTGTTACAGCCATCGCCACAGCCCAGCAGCCCATGTCCTCCAACCCCTGGCCCAGCTGTGGAGGTAATATCCCCTCAGCCCCATCAGGGCTCTCCCCACATCTCAAGACTCCGGGAACGCCCCAGGGCCAAACCCACGTTGGCAACTGGTGCCAGGAGAGCTTGATCCCGTCCGTCAGCAGCACCCGGTGAGGTGGGATGCACGGCAGGTCCCAGAGTTCTAGACCTGGGGTGTGACTGGGGTTTATGAGTTGGTAACTGGAAATGCAGTTGGTATCAGAGATCTCTTGTCAGGTGCATGCCCATGTGTTTGTGAACAGGAACAGTTTAGGAAATGGGGTTTAAGGGCAAACACACACAGGAAGGCAGCACACACTGCTCAGTGGGCTGTACATGGGATTTCCCACCTGTACTGGGAGCCACAGCCAGATCATTTGGAGCCCACAGTGTCCAATGATATAGGGGGGACACCACATATGGGCAGAATGGGGCATGTTTCTGCCTTGGGGAGTCTAGTTCTGAAACAACTTAATAATAATAATATTAATAATTCATATTAATTGTCAGTCACACTAACATTGGAAAATGAGCAGCAAGTGCATCTGTAGCTGCTGGGAGCTCCAAGTGCGGCATAGAAGTGACAGTCTCTGTCCCCAGGGCCTTGGCCAGAGAAGACACAGCACAATGTCTGCTTAGGGATGAGGACTGGACCCCACACACAAACTCCCCCTCCCCAAAATCTTGCACAGCATCAGAGAGTGCATCTGATCTAGAAACTTCCTTGTGGTTGTTTGAAGGCAAGTGCTTTATTCCAGAGAAGGAAATGCAGCAGCAGACACACCAGCCCAAACCTGTCCCTGTGTGGCTGATCCAAACCTACTCCCAGCCCTGCTCCTTCTTCTGGTCCCATTCCTGGTCCCAAACACAACCTCAGTGCTGGTCCTGACCCCAGTGCCAATCTGCATCCCAGACAGTGTCTACTGGTTGGACAGGACCAGAGCCCAGGACCCAGCACAGTCACGCTGCAAAGAGCTGGGAAACCCTACTGGGATCTCTGCCCCATTTCTCACTGGGACCGGTTCCCCCACACTTGTTGCTCTGGTCCAGCCTAAAACAACACTTGGCCCAGCGCTGCCTGGAGAGGTGGATGCTGCAAAACCTACCCCTGGCAGATCAGCACCCTTCAGCCTGACCCCCAGTCCCTGGCACTGGGACAGCATCTCCGTGATGCGAGGGAGACAGGGCAGAGCAGCAGCAGAGCTCTTCGCCCAGGGACAGGGTGGACCAGCAGCTCCCAGTATGTTGCACCCCCAGGCTAGGGACCAGGCTGGGACCGGGACTGATGCTGATTTTGTCCCTGGACTTCTCTTCCTCTAAGGCTCTTTTGTTCCGCTGCCCCGATCCCAGCCGAGGGCAGGAGGTGCTGGGGGCTCTGCCCGCCAGCTGGCAGCCGGGCTTTCCGGGGAGGGGGGCTCTCCCCTCGCTGATCGCCTCCAAGCTGCCGGCCAAGGGCGGCTTTGGAAGAGGGACAAGATGCAGCTGCCTGACCGGGAAGGTGGGG